CTTATAATTCTTACTCCCGATGTATAGTGTAAATTCAAGAATGTGTTATGTGTGAACTCAGACTCATGTAACTGACATGTGTTGTCGGTCAACAGCATAATGCTGTACATGTTTACTTCTCGCTGAAAGGCCCGGATATTGCGCTATTTCGGTCGTAGCTATTTTTAGCTAAGGCGTTAGCCGCCAGCTATTGGTATTACTTTAGTTAATGAGCTCAGATATTCATAAATGTCGATTTCACACAGACGGCCTCTAGCGGTAGTCACTGGTACTAAATTGAATCATATACCGGACCTACTGTCTTTATTATGCGTAACTTTGGACTCAAATGCACTTGAATGGCTTGTAAATATCATTACTTTTCTTTATAGAACATATGATCTTATCACAACGTCGTATTCTTATTGAAAATGCACCCTGTTTATCTCAATCGGGAACTGCTACTTGAATGTAGGTCATGCATGCTACACGCAACTTCCGGTAAAAATACTTCAGTTAATGAGCTCAGATATTCATAAACGAGACATAACGTCACCTTCTAGTAATACTAAACAAACTGCAAATAAAATCCATTACCACGGACTCAAGTTCACTCAAACGTCATTGGATATAATCTTATTCTTAGTTAGAACTAAGTATCCTTCTAAAACTTCGTATTTACTCTTGGAACTGTCGCTGGATTAACCCTTTACACGGAAATATTGTCCTGTGATTGGCTAAAATTGGTGACATTTACGTCCCTGTTTACAATTATATATTGCGTGGTCAGAGCTATGAAGCGGTCCTGTTCCAACTAACTGAGGATAATCAAAAGTGCTAATCAGTAATAATATATCTGATTCACGCTTCATATGATTATAATGTTATCAAAATATTGCATATTCGTTCATCGTTAAAATAACAAATCCTTACTAAAAACTCTAAAAAAAGAAACGACGGCCATGTTAGATCACGCGTGATGTTATCCGTTTCCTTATATGGCCTTCACGGCCAAATATAGTATTACTACTGATGCGGTCATGTTTACTACAATTTCCATATTTGGTCATGACACCCATATTTAGACGTCTGACCTATATCGGAAAGATTGAGGAAGTTTCCAACATGGCAGTCAATTAGGATTTCGCTTGCACTTGTTACGTAAACTTGATAATTTAACGAAATATAAGGCGGAGTATAACTTACAATTATGTAGGAGATCAACATAAAAAGTTCATATTACAAACCTATTAATGGATACGGATCCTGTCAATTAATTCTAAAATCGCCTCCGTGTGATTCACACCAGGCTTGCCTAACTAAAATGGGATCAACCGGCCGGGGCAGATGAGACCGGGAATCATGTTAGAACTAGCCACTGTCCTTCTCTAGTTCCATATTGGTATTCTAACCTGAAGGCTTTTTTTACCTTCGCAGTATTATCATTTTGTTCTATTTTCATCATAAGATATGCTATTGCATTTTTATATCGCCTTCTCGCTAATTACAGCTCAGCCAGAAACGAAAATATGCTCCGATAGGCCTACATTTTATATGTCTGTTGGTGTGATTTGTGTTTTTCGTTTATTGAAGTATTACCATATAACAGGACTCTTTTATTTCAATATACACAAAAACAACAACACCTTCGGAATGATTTCAGACATATACTGCGGGAAAACACGAGTGATCTCCCTTACATTTAGACATGCGCACATTTTACTTTCGTTTTGTGTAGGCCTAGACATCATTCGCAACGCGAAGCGGAAAAGACGAAAATGCAGGCGAGTGTTGACTTAATGTTAGGCATGTTGTTTAAGCAGCATTGACAATGAACAATATACATACACTTCTGCAACGTTTACCTACTACTGATTCATAAATAAGGCTATGTATCCCGATTTCGGTGACTTGTGGCCAAGCATGCGGCCGAAGCCGCAGAGAATGGCGCATGTTGTCAGCGGCGATGACAAAAAGGAAGGTGCTTCTACGGTATGTATAGCAGTTATTATGCAAAAACAAACATAATAAACGGACGTTTTACTCTAGTGAATTACAGCGTCACGAGGAACGTCTTTCTCCAGACGTGTTGCAAAATTTTCGAACTGCTTAGTTGCAAACTGATTTCACTTAAGCGTTGTTTGTGAGGATATTTGGCCTTACATTTCTTCTCATTCAGTTAAAAAAAA